TCTATCCACACCCACCCCTGGAGAGGCCACTCCAGCAAATAAACACGGTGAGGGGCAGTTTACCGGTCGAAAAACCCCCGCTAGATGGACGTAGGAGCGGGGGTATATATATATATATATATATATATATATATATATATAACGGAGCAAAAAAAACAACCAGGTTCCGGATAGGCGTCACTAAAACGCACTGTTCGCTGGCGTGCTTTGGACCCTATGGTCCGAGATTCAAGCCCTGCCACCGCCAACCAACTTTGGTGATAGCCAGCTTTGCTGTTGTCCGGTTTAACATCACACCTAATCCAGCGGGGCCTTTTGGTTCGCCACTCCAAGTCCCGAGGATTGTGTTACCGGTTTCCATCACTGAACAGCAGGTCCTCGTGGCTATGGGGATCATCACACAAAGGTGTGTAATATTTTTTTATTACAATGTGAATTACAGTAAACGGAGAAATCCAAGTGGACAAGTAGCATACTGTAAAGAGGAGAGTATGGGAACATTCACGTAAGATCCAGTTTATTGATTCTGCGTTTAAAAAGTGTAAGATTGTAAGTTGGGGGAAAACCAACAAGGGGAGGGTGCTCCACATTTTGGCAGTTCGAGGGAAAAAAGAAGACTGGAGTAGAGAGGTACGACACCTGGGAACAGAAACCCAATAAGGATGACTAGATGCTTGTGTGCGAGATGAGAAAATAAAAGTTGCAGGAAGAGGAACTGTCGAGGCAAGTTCCGAAGAACAAAAACCAAAGTAGTAGCGGTAGAACAGGGACAATGAAGCAACTACCCGACGATGGGCTAGCGACTATAGACTGGATGTTAGGGAAGGATCATCGATTAGCCGGATGACCTTTCGTTAAACACGATCAAGAAGGGAAAGGGAAGAAGACGAAGCCCCACCCCACACATGACTCCAGTATTCAAGGGCAGGGCGGATTTGAGCTTGTACAGAAGAAGATGAGCTGAGGTGGAAAAACGCCTGGCGCGAAATAGAAATCCAACCTTGCGCGCAACACCAGAAGCAAGCTTGGTTATAAAAGGGGATCAGCATAAAGAAGAAGTTATAGGAAATCCAAGAAGGGAAAGTTTGTAGAACGCAGTTGGGTGGAATCAAAAGACAAATGAGGGGAGAATGAATGGTGTTTTAAAGAAATTGAAAGAAGAGAGGTTTTAGAGCTATTGAACGAAATGTGGTTTGCAATTCCCCAGGAGATGTGTTCGATATCGGAGTCCGGTGATACATTAACTGCACTACGGTCACCATCGGTGTTGTTTTGGGCATGGTGAACAGTGCCGTAGGAGAGGGAGCAGTGGAGGGTGGCATCACCAGCAAAAGAATGGATCGGGTTAGTAGTTTGGGAAAGGAGATCATTGATAAATAGAAGAAAGAGGTTGAACGCAAGTACAAAACCTTGGGGAACACCAGCGCTTACAGGGAATGGCTGAGACAGAACCCCATCAACTCGGACGGAGATGGTTTGCTTACTGAGGAAACTTTACATCCACGCTACGAGCGCTGGAGGGAACCCGAATATGGGTATTTTCACCAGTAGACCTTCGTGACAAACTCCGTCGAAGTCCTTTGAGATGCCAAGCGAGACCAAGTGTGTTTCCCCGTGGTTGTCGAGTGGAGCTGACCAGAATTGAGACAAGAGCCAGAAGGTCACCGGTGGAACGACGTGGTCGAAAGCCATACTGGCGGTCGCTCATTAGTCCTTCGCGTTCAAGGAACTTGTGTAGCTGGTCAGAAATGATCGTTTCAAATGCTTTCGAAAGAACAGACGTGAGGGAAATGGGTCGGTGATTGTTGGGGTAGAAAGGTCGCCGTCTTTGGGAATGGGAAAAATCACGACGTGCTTCTAGGGGGTTGGAAAGGAAGAAAGTTGGAGGGAATAACTGAAAAGACGACGTAAAACAGGAGCCAGCTTGGGAGAACACATTTTGAGGACAATGGATGGAATACCGTCCGGAGCGGGTGGCTTGTTTGCGTTTAGAGAGCGCAATGTTTGACGGGATTTTCCAGTGCTGATACGAGGCATAAAGGGGTTGTCAGTGAAGGAAAGTGGTGTAGAAAAAAAGGGGTAAGGTGGATTTGGTGGCAAACTGGGAAGCAAAAACCTCAGATTCCTCGTTCGGTTAACATACAAGATCACCAGAGGAATTGCACATAAGGGGGGGAATTTGGAAGGGCAGAAACTACACGAAACTGCTTTGCCAAGAGACCAAAATGTTTGGTTACCGGTGGCGGACGAGAACAAATTTTCGGTTTACAGTTTCCGTTTCAGTTTTTACAACCATTAACCATACACTTTCGTGCGCCGGTTTTGGTT